TGGTTTTCTTTTTCTTTGGGATGTACTTTGTTGCCGCCTCTTGAAATTTAAAACTTAAACGTTTAGAAATACTGTTTAGCCATCCAAAGAAAATCCAAAGAAAAAGTACAGCTATAGTAACCAAGATTATGCAATGTAAGAGATCTAGGTATAAACTATTTTCAATTTCCCATTCTCTCGAATATTAGAAATTTGGGGATGGAAGTAAAATTTCATGAAGAAATCAGAAAGCTTATTTGAATGAGAAATGTCTTCACCCCTTCCCATCTTATAGAGTTAAGCCATCTTAATTTTTTATCAGTGAATTGTTTCCTTCCTAATGTGTGAACAAAATTGATCTTTTTGTACCTGTTGCTTCCTTTACTCTTCAACCTTTTATTTATCTCATTTAATATTTTTCTCATATGAGGCTGGTACGGCTTCTGGCACAGCAAACAGAAACCATTTGATAAGGTTTCGATAATTGCCTTGTCTTTTCTAACCGTGGGTGGACAATTGGTAACCAAATATTTGATAAGATGAACTCTCCAAGTACAAAAGTTCATATAGCATTACAAACTTATCATAGGAATGGCTTATTATGAGGTTTGGCTTTCTGAGTCAGTCTTTTGTTTTATCGTCTAGACTAGGGATCCCCAAACTAAGGCCTGAGGGCCGGATACGGCCCTCCAAGGTCATTTACCTAGCCTTCGCTCAGGGTCAAGCTAAGTCTGAAATGACTTGAAAGCACACAACAACAACAACAATCCTATCTCATCAGGCAAAAGCAGGCCCACACTTCCCATTGAAATATTAATAAGTTTCTAAACTACCTAGCAGACACAACTTTCCAAGTAGTTCAAAACTTTACAGAATTAGGAAAGATTTGACAGTCTATTGCTCATTGAGACCCATATTCCTCCTAAGCATTATCTATAGTGGCTCCCAGACTGTGTTCCTCAGAACATTAGGGTTCTGCAAAAGCCTTATAAAGGATCTATATCTATATAAATAAACATGTAATGTTCGTTTGTGGGATTAACAGAACTCAGAAACCACTGGACGAATTGACAACAAATTTGAACACAAGACAACAACTAAAGCAATTTATGTCCTTCACTAAAAACAAAACAAAAACCCGGAAAGAACTTAAACCCCCACAAGCCTAAATGACAATTAGAGCGTGTGTTAAAAGAACACCCTCTCCCGCCCCTTCCTCCTGCACAAGGGGAAAAAAGCTCAACAACTGAGAGAGAGGGAGGGAAAAGTGGCCAGTATATCCCTCTTGCTAACCCCTGCCAGTCTCTTCCCAATGCATCCAGAGAGGGATAGAGGGGAGGAGGGAGGAAGGGAGAGAGAGAGAGAGAAACCCCTCCTCTAGCTCTACCCTCTCCCTTTTCTTCTTTTCCTTTCCTTTTTTTTCTTTTCCTCTTGGGTCTTGGCTATCTGCAGCATGGAGGTACCTGCTGGGACCTCACATGGGAGGGATTCTGTCTGTCTGTGTGTGTGCCAAGAAAGCTAATCCATATTGAGTTATGGGAAGGAATTCTGGGAAATGAAGTCCAGTATTCAAAGAAAGGACAAAAAGGCATGCTTTGTGAGTTAGGAAAGGCTGTCCAGGAAGGCACAATCAAAACACTCCTGAAAGATGGCCATCCATTTTTACTTTATAGCAACCCTGGGCTATAATATATCTACAATAATAATATCTATGTGTGTGTGTGTGTGTGTCTATGATTTCTATATTGTCTGTAACAATAAAATCTACATGTCTATAATAATATCTATAGGTCTATAATAATATCCATATCGATATTCTATAATTATAATATCTGTCTGTCAATAATATCTATACATCTATAATAATAATATCTATATGCCTATAATATCTATGTCTATAATAATAATATCTATATACACGTATAATATCTATAATATCTATATGCCTATAATAGGTCTGTAATAATATCAATACATCTGTTGCCAGTTTTTGCTCAAAAGATATTTAGCCCTGTGCTCCTTCTATTTTTAATCAGTTTTATACTAATTTATGCAATGCTTTTGAAATGAAATAAATAAATAACATCTATAATAATAATAATAATAATAATAATAATAATACCTACATGCCTTTAATAATATTTGTGTCTATAATAATATCTATATGCCTATAATTACATCTGTACATCTGTAACAACAACAACAACAACAACACCTATATAATATCTTTGAACTGGGTTATATCGCAGTGTGGACTCAGGTAACTCAGGGCCCTTCCACACATGCATATAACCCTTTGGCCTCAAGGAGACTAAAATGGGCCTATATTGCGTTGACACTTTGCCACTTTAGTTGTGTATTGATAGCTTAGAAACCAGCTCTTCCTCTTTTCTTTCTTTCCCATTTCCCCACAATGGGCCACAGCAATGTGTGGCTGGGTACAGCTAGTATATATATATATATATATATATAAAAATCTTTTAATCTTTTAAAAAGTCTTTTTAAGAAGCCAGGGCTAGAGTATGGTGATCTTATTTTAATTCAGTGTATCTCTGCTTTCAAAATGAAATTTAAATATTTACAAATCTATTACATTATTCAAATACACAGGCAATAAGAGTATATGAAAGAAGAAATAACTTAGTGAGTTCACAATGCTTAGGGACACGGCTATGATTCTGTAAAAAAATCAGGAACAGAATTAATGTTCTGTGAAGAAATAAAGTCTTCTGAATGCTTCTATGACTGGAAAAAGCTTGGGAACAGTTTTTTATGTACTTTCCAAATCTATTAATGATTATTCACAAAGGAGTTCATGAGTAAGCCATGAGTAATTTTAATAGTGGCTTCCTGATGTGAAAAATTCATCAAAACCTGTACAGTTTTCAAAGTCTATTCACAGTTCAAGACTTATCCTGAGCAAATTTTACATGTTGTTGTTTTGCACAGTAAAACAGGTTTATGCAGAAAAACTTGTTTACCATGCAGAAAATGCTGTCTTCTTTGCAAATCATACACATGCAAGGTATGCACAGAATAACATCATTTTGTGTGGAGAAAATAATATTCCTATATAGAAAAATTATTTTCTCAATTGACAATATTATTTTCTACACAAAACAACACTGTATGGAATTTGGACATAAAACTTATTGAACTTGGGAGATTCTTGCTGGTTCAAGCATATCCTTAGGGTTGTGTAACACTTTGAAGTAAATTTTAGTTGTTAGATTTTTTTTTACAATTTTCCAAATATTTCAAAATACTATTTTCCTTACTAATCTGCAGTATATTCATTCATTATATATCTTTTTAAAGGCAAAATTGCTGAATATAGAGAGGAATTTTCAACGTTCAATATGAGCTACTCAAATGAGGAGATTGAAAAGTTGCTCACTGCAGCAAAGAAGAATGTAGTAAATGTTCGAGAAAAGATTCTGGAGGAGATCAAGTGTATCATAGGTCCATCTTTACAGAAGGCTTAAGCAAACATTTCTGCTCTGATGGAAAATTTACATCAAAGTTATTTTCTCTAGCAGAGAACACTCCTATTTCTTCATTATGTATCCAATGTATAACCGTTAGGTTTTAAAGGTTTTGTCCTGGAACAAAAATGATTAATTTATACTAAATCACAATGGTATATATATTTTATGTATATATCTACATTGTCATTCCTCTATTAGTATGCCAGTGAAGAGGAAAAGAATAGACTAATGAATTAACAGATTGAGTTTAATGTTAAGCCATTGATATATTGTTTGATGTGATTTGTTTTGATGTAATTTGTTTCTATGTTTTTCCCATTTGGCATTGAATGTTGACCATATATATTGGAAAACACCCTGAGTCTCTTTGGGGAGATAGGGTGGTCAACAAATAAAGATGATGATGATGATGATGATGATGATGATGATGATGATGATTACTTTATGGAGGATGCAAATTGATGACCAAGGTGTCTTCATAACTTCTGATGTGGCATATGTGTGTGTGTGTGTATCTGAGAAATGTCTCAAGAATCTCCATTGCATTTTTTTCTACATATAAGGAAGCTGGAGATTTTTGAGCGACTACTTTTGAGATATGATTTGCCACCAAGTCATCATAATTCTTTCTTCCCTTTCTGTTGGGCTAGGGGACACAGAGGGATCTCTCACTAGCTTCGTTGGCACATAAATAATATGTGATGTTCCTCAAAAGGCATACGTATTTTCTTTTTCCAACACATACAATATGCTACACACATGTGAATGATACCTTGAAGGTTACAAAAATCCTAGATTGGCATTGGCAGAAGAGAAAATTTCAACTCAGACATGCACCAGAGACCTTAAGCCAGAACAGTTTAAGATATATATATATATATATATATATATATATATATATATTCTGTGCATGCTCTTGAGTCACCATATTAGGATAAAAATAAAAATAACAACAAAAACAACACTGCAGTTCGCTAAAGTCTCATGATGTGTGCGTGTAGGTGTGAATATGAATTTTTAAATTAAATTAAGCATGTGATAATGATGGAATATAGAAAGACCCCATTAGGAAAGTCTCTCCTCAATTTCATTATAATTATAAGTAGCTCAGCCATCTCTCACTATTCAAAGTATCCTCCCTTACCCAAAAGAAAATGCAAATAACATTCACAAGATAGAGGGGAAAATGCTGAATCACTTCCTTATCCATCTGGAGGGTCCCCACCCCATGTTTTCCCTTTTATACATGATAATATATGTAGCAGTGGGCCCCTGGTAGCACAAGTGGAAGACATTCTGAAGTTTTTAAGGTAAATGATAAGGATTAAAGTTCTTATTCTGCTAATGTTTCCAGGACGTACTATCTTGTTCATTTAAAAAACATTTATGCTGCTCATAAAGAAGAAAAAGCAATTTTCTAGTATTCTCAGTATTCCCAGGTGTTCGGTTGTATGCCACTTTTATTGTTCCTTCCTTGTTCCTTCCTTGTATAATTTTGTGTTGCATTACTGTTTCTTTTAATCTGTACTGTAGCTCATCCTAAGAAAAGTTTTGCATCTTTTGACTTTATACGGCATGCCATTGTACCTCTGTTTGAAATTTCTGCATAAACTGATAACTAGAGCTTAACCTAAAAATAAAGTCTTTTTTACACAATGCTATCCTTTTAAGACATCTGTGTTTTGTTCGAGTTTTGTGTGTTTGGATCACAATTAACTGAATTTTTGCCTGTTTTAAAAATACTCTAGTTGAAAAGTTTCATTTTTATGAAACCAGAGCTCTCTTTCTCTCTCTGACACAGATTCATTTGTGGAATCATTAACACACACTTTCTGGTAACCTTTGATTTTTTTTTTTTGCTTCTGCAATGCCAGCTTTGGTATATAATTAAAACAGAAAGATGATAGAAATATTGATTCATTACAAGCCACTGAATGATCTCCATGTGGTTGTAGGTGGATCAATTTATTCTTTTAAAATCTCAATCTATAGTGCCTTAGAAACCCTTTGGTTCGGGCACTACTTGGTTTAAGAAGTCGCAGAGGTACCTACATTGCATTAAGCTTTGTTGATATAGGGCCTCAGACTGTATCCTAAATGGACTCAAGGAATTAGAGAGCAGGGCCATCATGGGCATTCATGTGGCCCTCTTCACATCCTGGCAAAACCTTGTTATTGTTAAAGGCTTTAGAGTCCCTCTGAGATGTTGAGATTCAGTGTGGTGCTTTGAGTGTTGGACGAGGACTCCAGAGTTTCAATCCTGCTCAACCATTGATCAAATCTTTGATCAAATCACACCCTCTTAGCCTTAGAGGAAAGAAACAGCCAACATTATATGCCTAAATTTTGCCAAATTCCCCCCTCCCCGATAAAGTCACTGTAACATGGAGATGACACAAAGTTACATACAAACAACAACAACAAATTAACTTGTTGGTCCTTTAATTTTAAATTTATTTCTTGATGATTGCATTAATTTGATATTTTCCACAATTTCCTAACAAATTTCCTAATGTTCTCCAAACCTAAGTTAACTTCTCTGGTTAGTCAGTGTGAATATGCACCACTGTATCTACATATCTAGTATCTGAATGAGGATTGTTTGATACTTAAAATGAATTACAGTTTCCCTTTGGTGGTCCATCCTTTTGCCTTATGCCATCATTTTTGAAAGTTGTCTTCTTGAGTTTTCAGCGTCACAAACATGAGATGTAACATAAAAAATACCACTGGTTCCAGTTTATAGCATTTATATAACATAATTGATTACAACCTTCTTCTTGTCCTTCCTTATTTTTATTGCTGCATTAATTCAATAAAATAACTCTTATTTTATTATGAGCCCTAAGTTTACTGACAGGCATTTTGTGGACACATTGCTAAAATGTGTTTTTTTTTAAAGTCCAGCAATATAATGTCTACAAATACATGCCAGTTCCTTTTGTAGCGTCCTTCACAGGCATGTAGCCGGGGGGGGGGGGGGGCTTGAGGGGCTTCAGCCCCCCCCCCCGAAATTTTCATGGTGGTTCGCGAAAAGGCCTTACTGGTGCATTATTTAAACTGTTATGTTTATTTCTATCATGATCTGATCACTATGCTCAATATATCCCATATGCATGGGGGTATTGGTGTAATGATACAAAAGGTTTGCTAGGGTAGACCCTCTTTCACTCAGACTCAGCCCCCCCCCGAAACTCAGCCCCCCCCTGAAAACTCCCCCGTCAGCCCCCCCCCCCGAAATGAAATCCTGGCTACGGGCCTGGTCCTTCAGAATATTTATCCTAATCTACTAGTTAAACATTTATTGTTCCCCGTCAAGGTTACTGCACTCCTCTTCCTCCACAGTAATAATTTGCATATGACTTCATTATCACATCTCAATAATATTTTGTCAAATTTTAACTGGTTTGTATAAATTGACATCCTGTGATACTTTGATTTAACACTTTCAAGAGACACTAGTAACAGCAGATGACTGTAGATCTTCATTGGGTGAGTAAATTACATCTGGATTTTTAAGTGCAATACATAGTTTTAAAAAAGAAGAATTTTCAGTAACAATCAGATTCCCTCTATCTTTAATTCTAGTGTGATAAATACAGACTGCAAAATTGTGGATTGTCAAAAATAATTAACTATGAAAAATTAGCATACAATATGATACTTTCTGGGTGCATTTTAATTTTGCATCCTGAAATACATTGCAAGCAGCTGCATTCTGCCTTCGGGAAAATGGAAATGTTCAAAGAAATAGACATGTCCATTTTGCTTTCCCCCTCATAGAATTGTTTTAAATCTCATGTTCCTTCTACTGCAGCCATGCAGAATTTTGCATCCCCCATCAATTTCTGATTTATAATCATCTGAAATAACATTTTCATGCATCTATTAAACTCACTAAATTGAAATGTTATACCTGTGGAAGGTATACTGTTAAAATGAGGACTGTTAAAGTTAAGGAGCATGTTAATGTGACTCTTGAAGATCACATTGGAAAATATAAAGTGGCAACTTTAACACACTAATAGAAAATATATTGAATATACAAAGAATCAAAGCTTACTTTCACTCAATTGCTCAAACACTAACTGAATAGATTTGTCTATCAGTTTCAATTTCTATCATTTCCATGAAGAAAAATCATATTCACTCCACACTGAAAATGAAGAAATTTGCAATTTTTGGTCCATTATTATCCACTCAGTATCAGCAGAAGCTTTCAATTAGCATACTAGGAATGTGGCTTGATATGACCATATGGGTCAATTGATACATCTACACTGTAGAATTAATGTAGTTTGACAGTAGTTTAACTGCCATTCATCAATGCTATGAAATCATGGGAACTGTAGTTTTATAAATTTTGGTCTTCTCTGCCCAAGAGTGCTAATATTCAACAAAATGATATGGCTACCACAGTATTGATCCATGGCAGTTAAAGTGATGCCAAATGACATTAATTCTATGATGTAGATGCATACCTTGTCAGCAACAGCACCTATAAATTGTATCTGCATGAATCACAAACTCCAAATCAGGCACTCCTGGTCATCCAGATGACATCCAAGGATGCCTGGCACCTATCACAGCGTAATACAAGCCAACTCAACTTTATCCTGTAATACCAGAAACTGGGGACTTTTACAAAACTCCCCCAAAGCTCTGGAACAACCTTGCCCGGGGTTTATGTGAACACCTGAGCCAATTCTAATTTTGAACCAGTGCTGCTGTTCAAATGGGATGATGCTACTGTCCCGTTTTCCCTGGGCTCAGGAGGAAAGGGGGGTGGCACATAACTTTTTCAATTTTTGTTGTTATAGAAGCAGAAGTTTGCAAAAAAACTTGGCCATTGCTGGGAACTTTTGCTGAGGTCAACAAAGGAACCCACATACTTGGAGGTAGGAGGGTGATTACTCTCACATTTTCTTCCTTTTTCTCTCCATGTTGTGTGGTTATCTTTGCTGACATCTAGAGATAGGCATCCAGAAACTAGATTGTCAGGATGCTGCTCTCACCACTACCATAGTTTATGAGTGAAGAGGTATAAATCCTCAGCAGAATCCGAGGCTAGTCCAAAACAGCAACCCTTCAGACTGGATACTGATTTAGGTACCTGTGTAAATACTGAAAAGCAAATCACTTCACTGTTCTGGTTTGTTTTACAGAGTAAGCTTGTAATCCTCCGAAGTGTGCAAAAGGAGAAACGACCAGAGTAACAACAAAAATATACCCACAGACAGGAATTTTAAATTTTGCTATCTCCAGAACTTCTGACTATTGATTCCTTTTTTTGTATTAATTGAACGGACAGTGCAAAAAGAAGAAGATATGGCAGCTTCGGAAAGCAAGGTAACATATTTCTTTTAGGATCAGACAACAAGTATCTTTTTATTTCTGAAAGAAGTATGTTTCTCAAAAGTAATCCTTCTCCACTTAGGGCTCATTTTTACCAGGCAAGTAAATATGACCCAGAGCAGCCACACATCTGGCACATTTCTGTTGTTCAGGCAGTCCAAAAGTGCTATGTTACCTGCTGGGGTGGCCAACATCTAACTTCCTCTATGTCATTGCTGTTATTAAACAGAATGAAGACCTCGGTACATTCTTTCCACACCTGAGATGTCATTTTCCTCAATCGATAGCACAGCTTCTGGATGCACATGGAGCGGTAAGGGAGGAAGGGGACACTTGCCTAGCCAGCCAGATCGGCCAAATCAACCCTGGCAATCAATGGAGTGACAGATGTTGCATCCAGATCGCCCAATCAACTGGTTGTTCTTAATCTCATTGCCTGCAAGAGTGCTATGTTACCTGCTGGGGTGGCTAACATCTCACATCCTCTGTGTCATTGCTGTTATTAAACAGAATGAAGACCATGGTACATTCTTTCCACACCTGAGACGCCGTTATCCTCAATCAATAGCGCAGCTTCTGGACGCACATGGAGTGGCAAGGGAAGAAGGGGACATTTGCCTAGCCAGCCAGATTGGCCGAATCAATCCTGGCAATCAATGGGGTGACAGATGTCGCAGCCAGATCGCCCAATCAACTGGTTGTTCTTAATCTCATTGCTTGCAAGAGTGCTATGTTAGTTGCTGGGTTGGCCAACATCTAACTTCCTCTGTGTCATTGCTGTTATTAAACAGAATGAAGACCATGGTACATTCTTTCCACACCTGAGACGTAAATCTTTAGCGCAGCTTCTGGATGCACATGGAGCGGTAAGGGAGGAAGGGGACACCCGCCTAGCCAGCCGGATCGGCCGAATCAACCCTGGCAATCCATGGGGTGACAGATGTCACAGCCAGATCGCCCAATCAACTGGTTGTTCTTAATTTCATTGCCTGCATACCTTGAGGCTGAAACACGCTGGCACTTCTTGTAGTTTTTTATCCTTGTTTTTAGCCAACATGTATTTTAAACAGCTTTTACTGTTTACAAATTTTATCCACTGGATGTTCTTAATTCTCATTACCTGTATAACTTGTATGCTACAGTATAATAAGGGTCTCTGCACCATAATTAAATTTATCATATTAAACAGATGTCCACTTGTTTAATAGGAGTGGTAGTGCTGGTGACCTGAGCATGATCTATTTCCTTCCCTGTGTTGATGAGTGCAGGAAAAGAGTGACAGCACCAATGTCTAGTTTTGAGAATAGAACAAGCCAAATTCAATGCAATCCCACTGTCCAGACTGCCCTGAAATTATGGTATACTCTGAATTATCCTGTGATTTTGTTGATTGCAGAAAAAACTTGGTTTAAAGCAAAAGCAAAAACAAACAAACAAACAAACTCTGGGATATTAATGGAAGTTGCTGGGGTAAGCCATCCTTTCACTTGGGTTTTTTAGTTTGCCAGAATAGGCAAACTCTTATTCTTCTTGAAATTCTTCAACTCCAAACCTTCCTTCTTGATAATCTAATTGTTCCACAACCAGAGCCAGGTAAGTGGGTAAAGCAAGAAGAGTTCCAGTTTGTGTTGTATGAGAAAATATATTGTTGAGAATTTATCCCTATGTAATTTTTTGCTGAGGTTCATTCAGTCATAAGCAAATAAAGAACCACAGTAGCAAGTGACAGTCTGAACAGAGGATTTTCTTCTATGTATAGACACTCAGCCTGTCCATAGTTGAGGTCGGAAGGAAGGAAGGGAGAAGGAAGGGAAGGAGGGAGGAAGTAAGGAAGGAAAATATCACATTCAGACTCACTGTATACATGAGAAGAATAAAGGGATTGAGAGCAGAGGGCCACCTCCACCTCATCTTCCTACTGCCAAAACTGCTTTTTGTTCCCAAATGTGAGGAAATTGCTGTGTTTCTGCAAAGTTTTTAGCCACCTAAGATCATTCTGGGCCCAAGAGATGCTTTAAAGGAAAAAAGAAACAACGTTTACTTCTGGTTTCAGATAGGCTTCTGAGCCTATTTTGGAACAATAAAAAAATATTAAAGCAACCTTTTTGACTCATTGAAGAGATGGGTTGTATGCAAGTCATAGCTTATCCATTTAAGATGTAAGAGTAAACGGTGGTTTTATGTGAAAATGAAGTCATAGAGAATGTGCAGTGAAGACAGAGGAGGAAATGTACAATACTGAATCTTGCGTGATATTGCAAGGTTGTCTTCATGTGTCATGTGAAGCAGAATCAGTAATTACGGTAATAAATTATGTTATGCTTTAGTTTCCATAGTTTAGTTTCCATAGCTGGAGACCACAATATATTTTCTAGTGTGCTGTTTCCTGACCTACTGGTATGTAATTTACATTTTTCCCATTTTTGTATTGTGTCTGGTTTTTGCAGAAAAATGTCCGTATCTCTAAAGAGCTCTCAGAAGGTGAACAGAAAGCTACTGCTTCCCGAAAGGAGGAAATAAAGAAAGTCCTGGCCAACAATGGCATTCTACTTGATGAGGTAGAATTCCCTCAATGTGTCTGTTTCAAAGAGTACACAATGTTTTGAATCATGTTATGGACTTGCATTCTCACTTATGTCTGTGGAAATTAGAAATTGTCCATTCCATATCCATAGTGAAGGGGCTGCTGCTACATTACTAAGTAGGCGAACCAAAAAAGTGACTGATGTGCACCAGTCCCATTGTACATTGGAACACCAGCAGAGGAGCTTTAATAAACATAAGGATCTTATTGTCTGTGTTTTGTTGTACATCATCACAATTCACAATCAGGGCTTCTTAGTGACTCTGCTACTTAGCTAAGTATATGTAAAATATATGATAGAAGAATACAGCCAATATACATCAGAATAAATGACAACCTTTATATCAGGTGTTCTATTGCTCCTAAAGTAGTGATTAATTTAATATTTTAACAGTTGTTTATCCTGTTTCCTAAGAGTAACCAGTGGGTTGAACCTCCATTTTTTATCAGTCTTCCTAGTGATATGTCCCAGGTTTTAAAACAGAGGTGCATGGTCCCCTGGTCATCTTTCTTCCACTGTTAGATCTTTTTCATGCATTATTATTACCAACAAAGAAATAATCTATTATAGAAAATTTGTTGTATCTAGGTAAAAGGTAAGTTGGAGGGCCCACTCTACCCCCAGTTTTAAATTGATTTTCTGAATATTCCATTTTTAAATATCAATTTTACTTTCCTCCCCAATATTAACTGTGCCCCTTTTATTCCTTTTATTATACAATTCAAAGTTCAAATCTCCTCTAATAATTACAGCCCCTACTGCCTGCAATTCTATTTTTTTAGTTTTGATAATGAATCTTATCTGATTCCGATTGGGGGTGTAAACAATAATTAATGAGACTACAATTATTTATTTTCCCTCTTACCGTTACAAACCACCCATCAATGTTTGTTATCATTTTTTTCTAATTCAAAATCCAGATCATCTTTTATTACAATGGCTATCCCCAAGATTTATTTGATCCCCTAAATTCAAACTGTAATCCCCAATTGCTAAAGTTTAACAATTTAATTCTATCTTTTAATGGGTTTCCTGCAGAAATGCGATCTGTGTTCAATTTTCCATTGGGAGTCTACATAGCCTATACCTTTTAAATTGTGACTCCAGACCATTAAGATTAACTGACATAATGTTTAGTTCACCCATCCAACTTAAATTGATTGGTTTTTGAACTCTTCATGATATCAATTCTTCTTATATTGAAGTTATGCTTAATTGTTGCCTCCCTTCCCCATATGGCTGTCAATTTCCTCCACTACTTGTGAGTAGAATTGCTAAGAAGATACTTCTTGCCACCTTTTAGATTAGTGGTCCTTAACCTGTGGGTCCCCAGGTGGTTTGGCCTATAACTCCCAGAAATCCCAGCCAGTTTACCAGTTATTAGGATTTCTGGGAGCTGAAAGCCAAAATTTTGGGGACCCACAGGTTGAGAATCACTGTTCTAGACCATATCCCTGGGGTTGTGCTACCCCTACCTTCTCTGCTGTATTCATTTTAGTGCACCAATGCAGATTATATATCACAGGCTCAAGGTCTGTATTTCCCCAAAGCTCAACTCCTTCTAGCCCTAGGACATCCCTTTTCATTAAATAGTTGTGAATTATTGCTAGTAGTTATTTTCATTAAACAGTGATTTACTGGGTCCAATGATCCTAATTACTCCTAATTATGATTATTTGTTCATGTCCCTGGTCTTCTCCTCCTCTGTTTTCTGCCTTATATATTCATTGTGAACCTTTCCATTGACTGCACAGTTATAGACGTTTGATGCCCACTAGACTGCTTTGGAAACATCCTATGGAACCTTGGAATGTTTGTTTCATAATTATATTGACTTCTCTTCCAGACAATTCTAGTACTGTAGTTTAAAATCTGTCAACAAGTTTGACAAAAGAATGTTTCACAGATTGGAAATCTCAATATGCACTCCAATCCCAAAGAAAGGATACACCAGTGTGATTGCAGGATGATTGCATTAATTTCCCATGCAGGAAAAGTAATGCTTTAAAGTACTGGATGTCCAAACTGGGTTCAGCAAATGAAGAGGTATTAGAACAATGTTAGAATGTAGCTTCCACAATTCCAAACTGTTAAGTGTGCTAGCTATGTCTACTGGGGAGTTTAACTATGAATATCTGGAGCATTACACTTTCTTTACATCTGCCAGAGACAAAAGAGAAATTACTCACTATGTCTCTTTTTTCTCATCAATTAGACTAAAATCCCCAATATTGCTGTCTTAGGATCAGGAGGCGGCCTCCGGGCCATGATTGCACTCTATGGCACACTATCACAACTAAAGAAATGTGGCTTCTTGGATTATGTTATGTACTTATGTGGAGTGTCAGGTTCTACCTGGTAAGTAGATAGTAATTCTTAATATGAATACCGATGTTACAATGGCGTATGCCAAAAGAAGTCTTTATATTTGTCTCCTGTTGGCTGATGGCACAAACCAATCTGCCAGCATCAGATTTTCTCATTTACCATTAATATTCATATAACTGCACACTTCCAGTGACAAATAGTGTGCTAACCATTCTTGCCAAAAGCACTAGTCAAAAGTATCATGAGAAAAAGAGGCTAATTCAAGTACTGTGATCCCTAAAGATCATAGTGCTTAACCTTTTAAGCTAAATTAAAAAATGAGAAAAAAGACAGCTTATTGAAAAATACAACACAATATTGTATTTTAAAGCAAAAAATGTATATGAAGATGTAGAAATCATTTTTGCTTTCTCTCAAAATTGATTTCAAGTTTTTCAATTCTATTTGTGATTATATTTGAAAGTTTGGTTAAGTCCTTAGCAGAAGTCAAAAAACAAAAAACAAAAAACAAATAAAATCCTTAAATATAGGTTCTTGGCAAGTTAAACCATTACAACAATTCTCAGCATAGAAAACACTGCTGCAACTATATATCTATTCTTGCTAGAAAAATATCATTAAAAATAGCAATAATCATAAACATGCCTGAATGTCAAGAAATTCAAAACCTAATTGTTTAAGACCTGAGTTCTTCAAAGCTGAGGTCTGCTTGAATTGAAAAACTGCCCATTCTGCTTTCTCTTCCTTCACCATTTATTAAAAAATGATAGACTAAACTGAAAATTTCACCCATTCTTAGTGTGGATTAGTTCCCAATTCTGTACTTTTTATTTTTAGTATATATGGAGCAGTCTTCAACTAGTAAATTTTTTCAAGCTGTTATGAAATTGGAGACAATGATTTCTCTGCTTAGATAAGGAAATCAAAGAGGTAACCTTGGGCAAAATACATTCTCAGCCTCAGAAAAGGCAAAAGCAGATCCCTATGAACAAATCTTGCCATGAAAACTGAATGATAGGTCCACCTTAGAGGTATCATGAGCTGGAAACACAACACCAACCTGGAGAGTAACTTTAACAAGTTTATTTCAGCATAGGCTTTCTTGCATACAATTGATTTATGCAATGGAAAATGGCAACAACATCCCTCCTTTCTTTTTATAAGTGTAAAAATCATAATGTATTAAAATTGTAAAATGTATTTATTTATTTATTTACAGTATTTATATTCTGTCCTTCTCAAATTCTAGTGTGATAGAAAGTGAAACTAGATGATATGTGGGAAGAGACTCAATGCAGTAACATAATATGTTTTTTCTCTGTATCACATGCACACATTACGGGATAAGGCTGAAGTAACTAGAGTTGAGTCTTACCCAGTGTGCTGAGCAAAATGGTCTCTATATGTTTATTATCAGCGAACACTGAGCTGAAAAGAAAGTGAAATAGTAAAGCCTTTGACAATACATGGAAATAGTAAAGTTTTTAATCCCAGTTTTCCGATTCCATGTTCTCAGAACCTGAAATCAGTTATGAATTGGTGAGATTTGTTTTTCTTTTTTATAATTTCAATTTTTCTAACTGCGTGACAACACTTCTCCACATGAGATGGGAAAGCATCACCGCAGGCAAGGCAGGGCGTGGAGTGATGAGATTGCCCCTCTGCCTGCGGATTCACCTTGATAACTGGCAAATCTGCCCCCCCCCCCCAACATCAATGTGATAAGGTTCCTAGTCTTAATCTTTTCCATCTTGTGAACTACTATATCTGGTAAGTTTAGGTGTTTGGGTCTCCAACTCACAGAAGCCCTAGTCAGCTTGTCCAATGGTCAGGAACTCTGGGAACTGAAGTCCAAAACATCTGGGGGTGTGTGCAAGTTGTGCATGTCTGATCTAGATAAAATTCTGAACAGCTGTATCCAATAAATTTAGATTTGGCACATAAGAGGAATGTCTTTCTTTAAAAAAAACCCTCAACAATTCACTGATTTGTGCATGGATGGAAAGAATTTGAGTTTTAAAAAATCTGAATATAAAGAATGAAATTGATAGATTTTCCATCCCCATTCTGTCTCAGATTAAGATTCCGGCTGAACTCCCTTGTCCTTTCTCACTGTTTTGTCCTTTTTCATTAAAGGTGCATGTCAGCTCTCTACAAAAATGAAGACTGGGCAAAAAATACTGAGGACTTGGCAACACTTCCACGTAAAATCTTCACCTCACATTCTTGGGAATTAACAAAGGCAATACACGCTCTGAGGGAGCATGTAGAAGATGAATGCTATTCACTAACTGATTTCTGGGGCTATTTTGTTGTGTATAAGATGCTGAAAGAGGTAAAAAACCCCATGAAATTAAAGGAGGCAAATGCTGAATTTGAATGTAAAGCAGATTTCCAATTAATAAAAAGATCCCACACAATGATGCCTCAGCAAGTTCTAGGATAACTTCCAGTTCGTCTGATGACATGCTTCCAAATCCAGACCACAGTAATATTTTTACTAGGCTGATTAAGCATTCTTGAGAAATGTATAAGTTTTCTGATTTCTAGATCCCTCAATATATCAAGGATTTTGAAAAGGGAGAGTGGTGAGAGAGGTTGATTTGATATTGAAATCTACACAAGCCCCTTAATCCAAAATGGATCAGAAGTTGCTTTTTGAAGTTCACATGACATCCAGGGATTTCAAGTCCTTAATGCAGGGTAAACCAAGGTGAACTGGATCTCCTTGTATTAAAGAATGTTGGGGAATGCTCTGGAGTTTTGCTGAAATATCCTGAATATTGACAGACTTTAGGCAGAATGTAGGCAACAGATTGGTTTGCCAGGAGCTTTCCCAGAGCTTTGTGGTGACAGATGTAGGAAAGGTAAGGTCATGGTCTAGTCTAGTGCATTGCTATTCTGGTCTGGTTGTCCATCAGCTGGCTAGTGTGGATAAGCCCACAGTCAGAGCTGAAAGATGAAATGGAAGAGAGAGAAGTGCAAGCATTAGGATATAGAGTTAGAAGAGACCTCATGGGCCATCCAGTCCAATCCCCTGCCAAGAAGAAAATAACATTCATTAGATTATCATTAGACTGTATCAGCTGGAGGAAGGATTTCAGATACATCCAGCACCTACAAAAAATATGTGGTGCACTCATGATTCTAAGACACAACCTGTTTTTAGAGATGTTTATAGGGGGAGGAAGTGTGTCTTAGAATCAAAGAAATACAGTAATTATTCTGTGTTCCTTATGCATAATCGCTGTGGAAATGAGAACCAATATACACTATTTTGGGGTGATAAACTGCTTAATTTCAGGATAAATGTGGCAGTTCTGAAAAAGAAAAACCAGTCATGAAGAATATTATTTTTTCATGGGCTAAATCAGTGATCCTCAACCTGTGAGTCCCCAGGTGTTTTGGACTACAAGTCCCAGAAATCCCAGCCAGTTTACGAGCTGTTAGGATTTCTGTGGGGACTCACAGGTTGAGAACCAGTGGGCTAGACAAACCCTATGGGCCAGTAGTAGGGCATTCCTATACTAAAGCATTCCTGGGTGAGCAAAGGATAAATGAAATCAGCATATTCCTTTTCAGCTTCATGAAAGTACACTGTCTGACCAACGAAAAGCTTGCAAGAATGGGAAAAATCCTTATCCCATCTATGCTGCGGTGGACAAACACACCTACCAAGACCACAAAGCAGGTAAGTCTGTAATGAAATCATACTAATGCAAAATCTGCACCGGCTACCAGTTTTTTTCAGGTTGAATTAAAAAGTGCCAGCCTAATGTATTAGGCTTTATAATTGCCTCCCTTTTCCAGAACATGTGCTCTTTGTCAGAGCTAAAATTTATGTCCATGCAGATTTCTCAAATGTTCCAAATGTTAGGTTTGTAATAGTTGGTATTAGTATTACCAAATAATCTATTAAATCATTGTTATTTAAATGCCACAAAGGTTTAGAATATTTCTAGTAGAATATGGACCCCTCCACACAGCCATATTAGCCAGAATGTCAAGGCAAAAATAATCCAACAATATCTGTTTTGAACTTGGTTATCTGAGTCCACACTGCCATATATTTTAGTTCAAAGCAGATAATATGGGATTTTATTTAGCTGTGTGGAAGGGGCCTGAGTCTAGTAGAAAGTGAGAGTCAAAAAAAGAATCCTTTTTTGCTTTTCAAAATCTAGTAACTCTATTTAATCATTTTGAATTGTGGAACTATACAACACAAGTATTTCAACTTCAGGAACTTGAATGAGACAAGCATAATAGCAAAAATCATTGGAGCTCGTTACACTAGAAATTCTCCTTATCCTATTGAAATTTTAAAGATTTTTCCTACATGAGAAAATTTGCTAGCAGCGGTTCCTTGAGTCTTCTATTTTCATTGGTTTCTTGGGATTTCAGTCATTATTAGGGATTTACTCATTCCTTTCAAATCATTATTGTTTCCACATAGGCAGCTGGTTTGAATTTACACCACATGAAGTAGGAGTTGTTGGCATACATGACCATCCAGGCATGGGGGCATACATTGCCACCGAAAATTTTGGGAGCAAATTTAATAAAGGAAAAATGGTTGAAAAAAAGAAAGAAAGAAATATTTCATTCCTTCAAGGTACAGCATCCAAACTTCTTTATGCTAAAGACTGTCATTCTTGGAATGTCAAATTCTGTGCAAGATACACACTCTTGTGAGAATCTTTAAGGAAGAATGTTTGAAAGACAGGCTGGTTCCAGACAGGGAAGAAGTCTGCACTGACCTGGGTTTAAAAAACCTGGGCCGGGGCAGCCTTCTTTTCCCACGCTGCCCTAAAAGCCTGTGCTTTTGGTGCTGAGTGTCTAGATGCACTCCTTGAACCAGGCCCATAGCCAGGATTTTGATTCGGGGGGGGGGGGGGGCTGAGTTTGTTTCAGGGGGGGGGGATCTCCCCTAGCAAACGTTTTGTATCATCATCCCTGTTTGGCCCGAATTAACTTGCTTTCACCGGAGGCATCATTTGGATGCCTCCAGTAAAAGCATGCAAGCTCACATGTTCTGGAGCCTCTTTGGATGGGCCCACAGTTACATTGACTCAAATCATTGATATATGCTGGGGTGCATGCATACTGGGGTGCATCTATCTTGAAGAATTACTGCAGTTTGGCACCCCTTTAACTTCTATGGTTCATTGCTGTAGAATCCTGAGGTTTACTGTGAGACACCAGCACTCCTTGGCAAAGAAGGCTAAAGACCTTGAAAAGATCAATCCCCCTGATTCCACAGCATTGAGCTATGGCAGTTGGAGCGTTGTAAAACTTCATTTATTCAGTAGTGTAGATGCACCCTACATCATTAATATGTCTGCTGATTGGAAACAGCTCTTTAGTGATAGATGGAAATATTTTCCATCTAAAATACAGAACATCAGACAAATGAAAAAACCTGACCATGGTCATTAGGGCCAAGATAGCTGAACTGATGTGTGCAATAAGATTCATTCCAAAAGTCTGGCACAAGAAAGGTAGGGACTGCAAACAGCCAACTTATGAACAACTGATTGTTACAAAGGGGCCTCACCCCCTGCCATCAAAGCACTGAGCCAAAGTTTGTCTGTATCTCTCTACCCCCTTTCTTGTTCTTCCTATCAATATCTCTCCAAACCCCCTTTTCTCTTTCTTTCCACCTATATCTCTCCAATCCACCACTTCCCTTTCCTTCCTAGCGATCTCTCCAAACCCTTTCCCTCTTTTCTTCTTATCGATATCTCCTTTGTTCTTCCTGTATCTCTCTTGGTTCAATGAGGAGTTGGCAGCAATGAAGCGAAGAAAGAGGGAATTAGAGTGTGTGTGACGTATGAAGCATAATGAGTCAGACCGAACATGGTTGTGTGCCTATCTAAAGGCATGCACCATGGCAATAGACGCTGCAAACCCCCCTCCCTCTTTGCGGCCAATATTGCATCTGCAAGGACCCGTCCAGCTGAGTTGTTTCAAGTGGTTAGAGGGTTGTTAAATCCTGTCTCTCAAGACAGAACCCCTGACCATTCGACAACTCACTGTGAAGCATTCATTCTGATCTACTTCGACCTGGACACCATGTTAACGGCAGTCTCTGAGGATGTAACACAAGCACCTGCTTGCCCAGTTTTGATAGATTCATTTCAAGTGGTGCAGCTCAAGGATGTGGACAAGATCTTCGAGGAAGCAAGGAAAACCACATGTATCCTGGACCCCTGCTCATCCTGGTTAGTAAAGGAGGCCAGAGGGGGGTGAAGGTAGTGGTTAATGCCTCCTTACAGGAAGGCAAGATACCAGCCAGACTAAACGAGGCTATAATAAAACTGCTGTTGAAGAAACCATCACTGGACCCCACTCAATTGAACAACTTTCAGCCAGTTTCCAATATACCCTTTTTGAGCAAAGTCTTGGAATGTGTGATGGACTTGCAACTCTAGGTGTTCAGCCTATGTTGGATGGGGTTACACTCCCTCTGAAGATGCAGGTTCGCAGCTTGGGAGTTATCCTGGATTTATCACTGAACCAGGTTTTGACGGTGGCCAGGGGAGCTTTTTCACAATTAAAACTTGTGTGCCAGCTGCACCCATACTTTGGGAAGTCAGACTTGACCATGGTGGTCCATGCTCTTGTTACATCCTGTATAGATTACTGCAACATGCTCTACTTGGGGTTGCCCTTAAAGATTGTTCAGAAGCTTTAATTGGTCCAATGGGCAGCAGCCAAGCTGATCACTGGAGCAGCGTACAAAGAGAGGACATCCCACCTGTTGTGCCTGCTCCTCTGGCTGCAAGTCTGCTACCGAACACAATTCATAGTGCTGGCTTTGGCCTATAAAGCCCTAAACAGTTCCAGCGTAGCTTACCTGTCTGAACATATCTCCCATTATGAACCACCTTGGAGATTAAGATCATCTGGGGAGGCCCTGCTCTTGGTCTCATCTTCTTCACAAGCATGACTGGTGGAGACAAGGAACATGGCCTTCTCAGTGGCGACCCCTCAACTATGGAACTCCCTCCCCAGTGACATTAGATTAGCCCCTTCTCTCCTAGCCTTCAGAAGGAAAATAAAAACCTGGCTTTGGGATCAGGCTTTCAGTGAATAGTGCAGTGCAATAACAGATTTGGAAAATGTGTAATGACTACGGAACGTCTTTGGACTAAGATTATGGATGGCGTGATTTTATATTGAATGACATGTTTAAAATATTTAAAATCTTTAATATGTACCAATTTAAATTTATTTTTAGTGTTATTGGCATTGTATGTGTTTTAAGGCACATATGTAAGCTGCCTAGAGTCCCTTTCAGGGTAGAGAAAGGTGGGGTATAAATAGGGTAAATAAATAAATAAATATCAACATATCTAAGAAAGAAACCCACAGGATATTCTGACTACAAAAAGAATGGATATGTAATGTTAAGTCTTCTCCACTGTCCATCATTGTCACTAATTCTCACCTCATCCATGCCAAGAGTATGTCATATGATAAAGAAAATGTAGCCTTTTGCCAACGCAAACAGGGCATCAGTTTTTAATATAGTTTCTTTCTTATTTTCAGGTTTATGGGGAAGTGCTCTTGGAAGTGAAAAAGAAATTATGAAGACTGTAAAAGGTATTGTTTAGGATTGAGAGTCTAAGATTATTTATTTGTATCAAATTAATTTATTGCATAGTTTGAGATGAGTAATGAAGAGAGAGCAGATTTTTCTAGATCAGGGGTGTCAAATTCATTTTCACCAAGGGGTGTATCATCCTTACGGTTGCCTTCAAAGGGCCATTTGTAATTGTAAAACTGTGTAAAAGTACCTATGTTGCCCTGGCATTGAAAGTCTCATGGTCCACATAAAACAACGCGAGGGACTGGACTTGACCCCAGGGCCTTGCATTTGATATGTGTGCTCTAGATGTATTTGACATGAGTGTTGCATTGGATCTGTTTCTATGAAGTCTGGTGTTACAAGTAGATCTAGTGAGAGACACCACTGTTGTTGTTGCTGCTTTCAAGTTGGTTTTGACTTGGGCTTTGCCATTTCCATAGTCATGCAGCACTGAGTGGGAATTCATGGGCTGGTCTCCTGGGCTTCTTCTTCAATACTAAACTGCTACACTATACTCTGCTGGCTCATGAGTATCATGCAGTGTCAAGTGTTATCTATACAAGGAGGCATTGTGCATACATGACACGTTGGGATGTGCTCCACACAGGATTCCAAATGGTGGTGTATGGAAATCACCAAAATGAGAACTCTGATTTTCCATTTGGTCTGATTTGGCATTTATCTGGTAGATGGGGAAAACAATTGTTAAGTAATGTTTTGATACATAACTGGAGTACTCAGCACTATTAATGCCACTTTTTGCTGGTACATCAGAATTTTATTTATTGTGAAAGCTAGACTGTTACCATGGTTTAAAAAATAATGTATATAAAAGGAAGTGGTAGTTTGGTTTCTCCTGTGATATAGTATCCCTACATCATGAAAGGACGCTATCAGTAGACACAACTGATGATTTTTGACTTTGTAATTGGCCAATTAAGTGTGATATCTGGATATAACATGAAGAGAAAATGCAATGCTATGTGTAATCTGCCTTTTTTGTAATTTGGAACTAAACCCTCACGTTGAAGTTTGCGTTCATTTTTTAGATGCTCTATGGACATTTATAGAAGAAAAGACAGGAAGACGTTTAGCTTATTCTCCCACAAATTTAGGTAAGTTATATGGTTAGGATATTTTATATATGTTTGGCTCCCTACCACACTTTTCTTTCTTCTTTGATATAGAGCTGTGGAGTATACTTGTCTTGCCTGTTCTGGCTTTGACTGACTATTCCTGCATGGTAGGTGATTGGACTGAATGGGCTTTGTAGTCTCTTCGAAATCTATGACTCTATGAATGGAATTTTAAAATATTTATTTGCATCTTTACCATGAGCCTTTGGCTATTATAGGCACATGGTCTGGTTGTGTCTAGAATGGTAGGGTTGTCAGGTATTGCTGGCTTTGCCTTTCCATTTACCAACATGCTGGGACAACTGAAAGTAAGACAAGAGTGGAGGAGTGTCACTGGAGGCCATATAGACCAGGCTTTGGAGAGAAAAATGCTTCCTGATATGAGGTAGCATAGAGGCTTTAAGAATGTTTGGGAGTGACTTCTGGTTCAAAATGGAGTTCTGAGACAGTGTAGACAAGCCCTCAGTTATCAATGTTTCATTGGTCAATTAAGTGCTCTTGAAAAAGCTAAAGGCCTCGATAAAGTATCAGCAAGATAGAGAAAAGTAGATAACTTCATTAAAATCAAGTCTAACATTTAGGATGATTTTGCAGGTAATCTGAAAGTGATCAGAATTAATGAAGCAATGAAAAATAGCATTCGGGAGAAAGCATACCATCACCATGGCAGCATCACAAGTAAGTCAAACATATAGAGGTTTTCTACCTCTTGTCTTTTGGTGCCTGGGAGTCTGCAGCAAGTATGGAACGTATACAGAATTAGTCATGGACAAATTCAAACAGTGCTTTTTCTAGTTCCCTCTGACAGGGTGGCAGGAATAGAAACAATATGGGCATTTATAGTCGGGTGTCTATCCAGAGGTATCAACTCAACCTGGTTCAAGAGGAACACCACACCGCTACTTTCCCCCATAGGATTAGATTGGATTTCTCCATATAAGTAAAGAATTAATAACTATTCAGTTGTAGCTAATTCCAAGTTCCTACTGTGCTTTTTGTATTTATCACCTATTTAACTACTGAATTTTGAAGAATGATGATCACATTTTTAGATTGTTTGGAAGCTTTAAGTAGTCCAACAGGCGGCATTCAGGCCGCTCACTGGGGCAACGTACAGGGAGCATACTACCCTCCTGAGGACATCCCACCTGCTGTGCCTGCTCCACTGGCTGCCAGTCTGCTACCGAGCACAATTCGAAGTGCTGACTTTACCCTATAAAGCCCTAAACAGTTCTGGCCCAGTTTACCTGTCTCAAATATCTCCCTCTATGAGCCGGCAAGGAGATTAAGATCTTCAGGGGAGGCCCTGCTCCCGATCCCACCTCATTGGAGGGGACGAGAGACAGGGCCTTCTCAGTGATGGCCCCTCAGCTATGGAATTCCATCCTGAGTGAAATTAGATCAGCCCCATCCCTTCTAACCATTAGAAAAAGGCTAAGAATGTGGATGTTCCAACAAGCATTCAATTAGTAATCTATCAGTGAAATGAGAAAAGATGAAACAGTACAGTGTCAAATTGGAACGGCCATGGACTATGATATTGGATTGTGTGATTTTAAATAATTGGTTTTAAAGTTTTATGATGTTTTAATTATTGTTTCAGTACTTATATTTTTATTATGTGCGTTTTTGGCATCTAGTTGTAGCCTATATATGTAAGCCACCTTGAGTCCCCTACGGGGTTGAGAAGGGTGGGGTATAAATGCAGTAAATAAATAAGATAATGTTGGGTTACTCTTCTCATTTTGTCTCATTATCAAGATACTAGGAAATGTAAGAAGCTTAAACAGGTTTACCTGTACCTTGTTGAACTGCAGTTGCTTGCATTAGAGGATAAAACAACAGTGGAAAGAGAGGTTGTTGACATCATTGGAAACATTTTGAAAAGTAAGTGAGATCTGAACATCTGATTGCATTTCCTCTATGAGTACTACATACCACCCTGATGATTACAATGTATTACAGGACACCAGGACTGCATTCTATATGACACCCTCACCTTAATTTATTAGGTTTTGATATTAATCACAAAGCAGAGAAGAGTGGCCTTTTGGGATTCTGTATGCGTTAGAAACTTGCTTGGAATATGCTACACTTTTAATGAACATTGTCACCATAACTGGGTCCTATGATCCATCTGTTATCAGTATACGATCAGTTGGATGAAATTTGGTCCATTGCTTTATCCTATGCAAATAGATCTGTGAAACAAAAATTATTCTGATTTATTCATTGTTAAGCTGAGCTGTTTACTGATTTGAGTGAAGAGCAAGAAGAGGTCTTCTAACAACATATATACAGGTGCCATCCATAGCTAGTTTGCCATAGGACTTTATTTACTATGAACCTTTTAAAAGTTATCTTCTTCTGCAGCTTTTCACAGAATCCCTTGGGAAAAACAGCCAAATCACTATGAAGTTCAGTCCCAGCCATCACTGATAGTTAATCTTTCCAAGTTTGATAGGAGTTATAGTACATGCCGTTGAAAAAAACTCAGGCTAGGAAAGGTTTTTAAAAAGGTGTTTTATTAATCTGCACTTTCAACATTTTATAGTTTTCTAAGAGAACCTCATGAGTCTCGTCTCTTGCTGTAGATACAGTTAGAAAAAACACAAAGAAGAATCCAAACCAGTCCTATTTCTAACATGTAATGCATCACAGTCTTACTTCATTTTGAAAATTCAAATTGATTCTTTGTTTGAGTCCCCTCGGGGAGAGAGGGTGGAATATAAGTAAAGTTCTATTATTTTATTTTATTATTTTCATCTTTTCTTTATCTCTTTAATGAAGGATACGGGAGCAGTGAAAGTTATGAGCTTTTCAGAAAACTGGACAAAGCCTGGTTGTCTGAAGATGCAAAAACAAGAGAGGACACATTTATAAAGCTGTATGAAGCTCTGGACACAGATCTTGAAGGCAAGTGGGTTCTGATTGTCTTTGCGGTTGGCCATTCTACTACAAACATGTATCAAACGACAGTGGTTCTATGTCAAACTTCAGTCAAATAATGATATAAAAACTTGAAAAGTTCTGCACTATGAACTTGCTGCAGAAAGTTAAAAGGTACTATGCCAGATTACAATCTAATAAGGATGCAAATAAAGTAAAGGTTAAAGTTTTCCCTGACATTAAGTTGAGTTGTGTCCAAATCTGGGTGGGTGGTGGTGCTCATCTCCATTTCTAAGCCAAAGAGCTGGTGTTGCCCGTAGATGCTTCCAAGGTCACGTGGCAAGCATGACTGCATGTTGCGCTGTTACCTTCCTGCAGAAGCAGTGCCTATTGAACTACTCACATTTGCGTGCTTTTAGGTTGGCAAAAGCTGGGGCTAACAGCAGGAGCTCATCCTGCTCCCCACTAACCTTTCAGTCAGCAAGTTCAGCAGCTCAGCGGTTTTAACCCATTGAGCCACCAGTGGGTAAAAATAACCAATGGATTATTTTATTTTCAGATAAAAGAAGAAAAGTTTTAGATTAAAAGAGCTCACAAGACATTATACACAAGCAACTGGAGAAACTTTCAAGACCTTTCTAGCTATCGAATTCTTAAATCACAGAATGTAGATGTTCTGTGCTCTTGTTGCTACTACTTAAAATTAGCACTTAGGTCCCATTGCACTTGCAAAATTGTGAAAAATCTTGCATTGGCTGATACAAAAGAGTATACTAACAGCTTGAGAGGAAACAAATGAAATTTCCATCACTACAAGTGTTGTACTTTCAATGAGCAAATGTGTCTCTATGTCAGAGATTGAGACTGAGAGGCAGCAGATCCCAAGAAACTTTTCTTGGAATGCATTTGCCAGAGTGAAAACTGGTGACAGTATTCACTGTCATCTATCCTGGTTCACAACAAATAACAACTGCTGAGGTTCTCTCTTCTATACAACCATTTATTTTCCAGTTTTCAGTCTGGCAACCTTACGTATGAATCCTCAAACTAAGGCCCGGGGGCCGGATATGGCCCTTCAAGGTCATTTTCCCGGCCCTTGCTCAGGGTCAACCTAAGTTCGAAATGACTTGAAAGCATATAACAACAACAATCCTATCTCATCAGCCAAAAGTAGGCCCATACTTCCCATTGAAATACTAATAAGTGTAGTATTTCATTTTAATTATTATATTGTTTTAAAGTGTTTTTGCACTACAAATAAGGTATGTGTAGTGTGCATAGGAATTCATTCATATTTTTTCAAACTATAATCTGGCCCTCCAACAGTTTGATGGACCTGGCCCTCTGTTTAAACAGTTTGAGGACTCCTGCCTTAGAGTATGGCATTTGTGTGATGAAGTGGTCTATCTTATATCTTAATGCCACTCCTTTGGTCTTACTACTGTTCAAACTACTTTTATATGTGTGTAGACAGTGAATGTCTAATTTCCATGCAAAATCTGTAAAGTGCAGTTTGGGTATTGAATATTCAAAGTTTTCTGTCTTTATTTTGCTTTTTCTATTATTTTAAAAGAAACACAAAGAGGAGGAGAAGGACGACACAAATATAAATGCGGATTTACTGCATTTGATTGTAAGTAGTTCAATGGCATTATTACATTCAGGCTGCTTGTATCTCTTTCTGTCTCGTTAATGCCATCCGTTTGAGATATTAACTTAAATCAAGAATGACTGAATTTAAGTAGCATTATAATATTTACAATGGACCTCTTAATAACAGGAAGATAAAAATCACAAAATAAACAAAAACTTCCATGGCTCTCCATCACTAACAACAACAACAACAATACTTCTTTCTTACTCACCTTTCCCAAAGTCTTGAGTTGGGTTGCGACGTACCGTATTTACTCGAGTATAATGCACCATCAATTGTAACACGTATCTCAATTTTGAAGGTGTGTATTACAAATATATATATGTTGCTGAGTTTAATGCTGTTGGCCATCTGCCTCAGAATGGCTGACATACAAGGGGAAACCATGTCTCTCTATCAGGCCAAGCCGTAGCTTCCAAACTAAAGTTTCATTCATGAGGTCTTTAAAACTGGGGGGGGGGGGGGGGGGGGGGGGGATTGAAGGTCTCATGAATGAGGCCAGTTGTGAAGCTGTGCTCCTCCATCAGGCTGGAGCAGGCAAATTTGCCAGCCTCCTGTTGACAGAGAAATGCAGACAGATTTACATGAGTGATTCTGACACCATCAAATCTAATGCGTAGTCTACTTTTTGCTATGTAATTTAGCTAAAAAATGTGAGCATTATACTTGAGTAAATATGGTAAGTAAAATACATTACATAAAAAAAGATAAAATCATTTAAAACACATAGACATAAGATTAAAACACATATTAAAATCATTCAAACTGATACAATATCGATTTAAAATTGAAATGTGTTGTCGAGTGGATGATGAAAAGGTCCTCTGGGTGACAGTTGCTACATGATTTCATGAGTGAGGTAACTGTTCCTCAGTGGACCTAACTGTACAGAATGGATTGTACAGGAGAACACAATTTTACAGGGAGCCAGGACCCAAATTATGTAGGGTTTTCAAGGTGATAACCAACCCTTTATCCTTTCCCAGGAAATTCATTGGCAGTCAGTGGGATGATTTTAATGTAGGTGTGATATAATCACTTTTGGTTGTACCTGTAACCAATCACAAAAATGAAGATTGAATCTGTAAGTGTGGAGTCAATGTATTAGAAATTTCTGCAAATAATATGCATGAGAAGCTTTTCTTCCTTACGTCATAGATGAAATGTGCAAAGACATCTTAAAAAAATTAAGTTGCTACCCAAGACTCTATGGATGGGAAGACATTTGGCCAATGGTGGGGAATGATGGACTGATATCATCTTGCTCCCCTGGACCATAATAATTACAGATCAATGTCCAATATTCCTTTTTGGGCAAGGTGATTGAGAAGGCAGACTTGAGGATAGGGAGTTGAGACTGCTATGGTCATCTGAGGGCCCTTCCACACAGTCCTATATCCCAGAATATCAAGGCAGAAAATCCCACATTATCTAAATGTGGACTCAGATAACCCAGTTCAAAGCAGTTATTGTGGGATTTTCTGCCTTGATATTCTGGGTTATATGGCTGTGTGGAAGGGCCCTTAGTGCAGTGGTTCTCAACCTGTGGATCCCCAGGTGTTTTGGCCTACAACTCCTAGAAATTCCAGCCAGTTTACCAGCTGTTAGGATTTCTGAGAGTTGAAGGCCAAAACAACTGGAGATCCACAGGTTGAGAACCACTGTCTTAGTGGATGATCCCTGACAGGGCGAGTGTGTCCTTGTGGGTCATTTTGGATTTCTCAGTGTCTTTTGATCTCATCATCTTCTGGAACATGTGGAGGAACTGGAAATCAGAGACACGGTGTTGTAGTGGTTCTGATTGTTCTTCTCAGGCATGTTCCAGATGATGGTGCTTGGGGATAGCAAAACAAGGAGCTATGTAACATCCAACAAGTGGCCATTCTATCCCCAAAACCAAATTTTCAAATATTTTTTGTTCTTTTTTCATTGATCCAATTTATGGCAGTTTTGATTTGTGAAGATAAATAAGAAACCATTCATACTATCTGTGCAAGACAAATGTTTGCTCTGATCTTCAGGATGGTTTATGCCTCCATCTTTGAGTAATTAAAATTTGACGGGACTTTGTGTACCCATTGATCTTGGAACAAAACAGCAATCATGATTTAACATGACTGCATCAAGAGTCTTTTTATGCTGAATGTTTCCTATGTTAATATGCATTCCTTTGTTTTTATATAATATCATTTGGATTGCTGCAAGGCATTGTACTTGCAAAGGCATGCATTCCATATGGAGCAGTTTTAGTTGGTATAGAATGTGAATGCTGCTGTACTAATGCACTCATAGTGGGCAATATGAACAAAGGACACCAGCGCTTTGTCATCTTCACAGTCTGTTTGTTCCAATCTCAAGTTCTGGCTTTGAATTTTTTTAAAAATGTATGTATTTATTTAAATTTTATCCTGCATCTCTCTCAAGAATATAAATTAAAACAAAAGGTAGTTAAAACATCATACAGGCAGTCCCTGAATTTCAAACATCCGACTTACAAATGACTCATAGTTAAGAACGGGGGTGAAACAACAGAAAGTGAGAGGAATCCACCCCTTGGAATGGAGATCCACTTCTGGAAGTTATCATGAGGAAAAGGTGTCTCCACTGAAGCTTTATCTCCAATCCTTATTTCCAAAACAAGTCAAATTTTTCAAAAACCAATTATCACAGGGACAGAAAGTGAGGTCAAATCTTCTGAACAGGGGCACAGAGAGCAAGCACCAACACCCAGGGGTGTTAACCCTTCCCTGTGTTATCCAAAGATCACATATACATGGAGTTACACTTTCAAAAGTACCAGTTCCAAGTTACATACAAATTCAGCTAAAGAACAAACCTACAGAACTTGTCTTGTTCGTAACTTAGGGACATTTTTTAAAAAAGTGTTTCAAATTAAAATATTACTTTAAAACAAATGTTTAAAATATAGCAAAAAAGCAGGTAAACTACAGAGCCCCATCAAAAATCTTTTGATGTAACAAAGTAAGAGCGAAAAGACTGCATATTTAAGAAGGCCTCAACCTGCCAGTCCAAAAGGAAATGTGATGAGGGTTGAGGTGAGAGTGAGGGAAGCAAAAGAGGATCATAGAAGGCTATTGCTTCTCTGATCCCCATTTGGCTATCCTTCATCTTCTGGATATCATGCAGGGTATAAATAGGAGGCGGCAAGAGTAAATCATGGAAAGATATAGCTTCCCTTTCCAACTTCTCATGTTGGCAGGTTGGGCAGTAGTGAGGCCACCTAGAAACGGTCTTGTTTCTTGCTAGAATTCCCCTGCCTACATTCCCAATGTTCTGTAGGGGACAGGCAAGCAGAAACCAAGAGAGGCTTGTGGAAGGCTATAGCCATCCATGAACCTTTCTTGAGCCCTCCTCCAACCTTCCACATGGCAACAGGGGGATGGGGAGCCCATGATCTTCTGTCATCTCCACAACATCCCAAATATGCAATGGAAGTGGGTGAGGGAGAACCTTCTATTTTGCAATCAGAGATTTTATTTCTCCTTTCCCAACTATTGAATATTTCTTTAACATAGTATATAATCTTCTCTATCCTCTAATCCAGTGTTTCTCAACCTGTGGGTCCCTAGATGTTTTGGGCTACAACTCCCAGAAATCCCAGCCGGTTTACCAGCTGTTAGGATTTCTGGGAGTTGAAGGCCAAAACATCTGGGGACCCACAGGTTGAGAACCACTGCTCTAATCTTTCTTCTTAACTGACTATAAATAAAATCACAGGCATAGAGTGGGAAAATGCAAATAAGATGTAAGAGAAGAAAATTACGGAGACCAATCATTCTGATATGTGGTTTAATTTCAGATAAAATCAGTTTTGAAGTTTCCATGCTGGCAATTGGAAATTTGAATTTCAAAAGATGAAAATTGGGCGCAAGGGTGAGGATAAAGATTTCAGGTGATTACTTTAACTTTTTTCCTCATTATTAGACTTTCGTGGTTTTCTGAAAATCATGTGGAAGACCAGTTCATGCATTTCCGGATGGACATGGGGAACTACTAATAACTTCATGATGAATTGTTGTAAGTTTATATTGTATCTGCATTCATTTCTCTTTGTTAGTATATAATTAATCTGGTGATAGGAGACCCCGGTGGCACAAAGGGTTAAACACTTGTGGTAGCAGGACTGAAGGTCTGAGATTAGAATCCAGGGAGAATGTGGATGAGCTCCCTCTGTCAACTCCAGCTACCCATCTGGAGACGTGAGAGAAGCCTCTCACAAGGATGGTAAAACTTAAAAAAACAAACATCCGGGCGTCCCCTGGGCAACATCCTTGCAGATGACCGATTCTCTCACACCAGAAGCGACTTGCAGTTTCTCAAGTTGCTCCTGACATGAAAAAAAATCTGGAGAGTTCTGAATTCTGAAAGCTATAATATTTTGGTCATTCTATCCCAAATTTCTGAAATTCTATGATGGCCCACATTTGATCAAACACCTTCTTTGGTTATTTTAATTAAAAGATACAGGACCGATCTGATGCCCAGCTGTCCTCACAGCCTAAAGTCAGGAGAAAGCCTGAATCCTGGATCAGGCTTTTCTCAGCTTCAATTAGCTGCCACTTGCTGATCCATATCTACACTGACCTGGCTTGTGTGTTCTTCTTCAGCAATAACTGTTGCAATCTTGGCCACACTCTGATGTTACTTAGCTACATGTGTTCCAATTTTTATCTGTGAAAAGTTGGAAGGATATGGGATTTCACTATCATATCTGATGGATTAATGTGTGATGGTTGCTTCTTTCACCAGCTCTCTCTCTCTCCTTAATACCATCTGCGGAAGCACATTTATATTGGTACATGTTTGCATGTAAATGCTTTCTCATTACATCTTACTAGGTGATGTCAAAGCAGATCATCTGAATAAGGAAAAAAACATCTCTCTAATTGATGCTGGTGTAGCCATAAATAGTGCTTATCCACTTGTTCTCCATCCCAAGAGAAATGTGAAACTGATTCTTTCTTTTGACTTTAGCGCAGGGGGTCCATTTGAGGTAAGTCTTTCAAATCTTTCAAGATTGAGCAAAATAAAAACCTTACAGCCACATAAAGCCCCTAAACTGGTTTTTGCAGCATTTATCTACTCTACAATCCCTAGTTTATCCCATACAAAGAAGGGGGAGTAAGTCTCATGAAAGCTTTCATATCTCTGTAATTTGATTGCTGGGCTCTTCTGCCCCCCCTTTTTTTAGCATGGGAGGAGTTTCAAGAACTACACGCACATTTCTAGTCCCTTTCAGTGTTTTTATTTTATTTTAAATATTTAAATTTGGGAGGGGGTTGGTTCTGAAATTTCTGTAGCCTACACTGAAAATTGACTCCTTGACCTGCCATGGTTGTCCACCCATGAATTAAAGGATGCATAATCACAATACAGTTGACATCATGTTGGTGACAATTGCCAATATAAAATTTGTTTTTCTTTCAGTCTTTTGGTTTTGGCAAAATTATACCAGATAACTTTTACATTATGCCTTGGAATACAAGATCTCATTTTGGTTTTGATCTAAGTCTCAGTAGGAAAATAAAGGGGAAGTTGAATTTATAATTTAATTTATTGATGTCAGGTTTAATTTACTGATGTTAGGTCTTAATTTGATTTTAGGCTTTAATGTTACTTTTATATGTGGGGGTTTTCTTGGATTTTATGTTAGTATCATGTGTTTTATGTAGGCATCGAATGTTTACCACTATTATACTGGAATCTGTCCTGAGTCCCCTCGGGGAGACTGGGCAGAATGCAATTATTATTATTATTATTATTATTATTATTATTATTATTATTATTACTAGAAACACAACAAGATGAGTCCATAGCAAACAAGATCACTCTGCTTGCTTTTGTATTGGATCACACGTCGGACACTTCCCAAGTGTCTAGGACAGTGTGATGTATTGGAGAATAATGTGTGCAGATCCCAGTAAGGTAGCCTTTTGCAGCTGGCAGATGGTAACTTTGTCAATGCCGATTGTGTTTAAGTGCAGGCCAGGGTCTTTAGGCACTGCACCCAGTGTATCGATCACCACTGGAACCGTCTTGACTTGTTTGTGCCAGAGTCTTTACAGTTCAATCTTTAACTCCTCATATCGTGTCAGCTTTTCCAGTTGTTTCTCTTCAATCCTGCTGTCACCTGGGATTGCGACATTGATTATCCATGCTTTGTTTTTTTAATGCAATCATGAGTGAGGAGTATCGTGATCCAAAACTCTGTCAGTCTGAATTCGGAAGTCCCAGGGTAGTTTGATGAGTTCATTTTCTGTAACATCATCATCATCATCATCATCATCATCATCATCATCATCTTTCTTTCTTTACCGGGGCAGGTCTTTAGTGGCTTAGGACTGACATTCTGATGAGCACTGCTCTGGTTAAACATATCTGACATTAATTTAGCAGTCCAGTAATATAATTTATGGCTTCTTTCTTCACTAATCACTTGATGCCAATGCCTATGGTTGTTCAAGGATGTTCATAGCATAGATCCATCTCAACTGACAATTTGTCCCAGTCTCTAGGAAGAGTAGCAGCAGTATGAAAATAGCATACAATATTATACTGAACTTCTGTTGTTTACCCAGCACTTTACCTGATGGGAAAGGCTAAATAATTTCATCAAATGCACACATAATCCTGAAATGGGTATAAATGTGATGTAAAAAGGAAATATTCTTTCCAATCAACAAGCTGTTGGTAATTTCTTTTTTATGTGAATTTGCCAGTTCAATCATCAGTTGCCCTGATTTCTCTTTCAATTTAATGAAGACTTTATATAGAGCATCTGAATACTGTAAAGTCCATCAAATTCCATTTCCTGATATCAATAAGGATGAACTGCCGGACAAAGAACCATCAAATTGCCATATCTTCAAAACAAAAGACCTAACGATTATGCACTTCCCACTGTTTAACAAAGACAACTGCAAAGGTAACTTGAGGTTGAATTATTTGTGTGAAATTCATAGAAATAATCAGATATTGGAAGAGAATGCTAGAAAATAACTAAACAAATTACCATTCTTCCAATCCTGAACTTCTCAATCATCACATCCCTTCTCAAATGAATCCTCAAACTACCTCCTTGTAAATAAAACAGGTTTCTCAAAGTTCTGGTGTTGTTATGTGACTTCTAGGGACACTCTAGGGACCATTATGGGTAATTGTGTCCTCCAAGGTCATTTTATCCTCCACCCAATCTAGATTTTGAAATAGGTTTCTCTTGGACTTGAAATAAGCCAAGAAAAGTTGGAAAATTGACCCTCCATGGCTGTTGGAGGATATGAGGGATTTTTGTAGTTTAGTTTATATAACACAATTATTATTCCTGGGTTATAAATATCATTATAAAAACATAAAAAAGGCTTATTAAACTGCAAAATCTTTGTTTTTGTGGAACACGCTGCAGCACATTTTGCTATAGTTTTTCAATGAATACTTCATAGAGTCTCAACCAATTCAACATAGTTTGTGGCAGCCACAAAAATGAGTATAACAATGACTTTCAAAGTAAGTACTGCACAATTAAACAGGAAATAACACTTTCAAACCAGGAATAGATTTTTTTCAAATGTTCTTACACGGTCTTATAATTACTATTCACATATAAAACCAATTAACATGATAAAGAAGTACATTTGGGCATATATCACATATAGATCTAAAACAATTAATGGGTTTCTTTAAAAATAATCAACAGGATTAAAGTGCATCAAACAAAAGCAATGATTGTGCAATTCGATAAGGTCATTCTCAGAACAATTTGCTGCAATGTCAGAAACAATTTTTCATTGCTGCCAATGTGGAAAAAGAGAGACCTTTTGAATTCTACAGTGTATCACAAAGGATATTTCTTTTTCTGAGACACTGATAGATGATAGGTAAAGGTAAATGTTTCCCCTTGACAATAAGTCTAGCTGAATCCAACTTTGGGGGGTGGTACTCATCTCCATTTCTAAACCAAAGAGCCGGTGTTGTCCATAGATGCCTCCTAGGTCATGTGGCTGGAATGGAGTGCCATTACCTTCCCGCCAGAGGGGTACCTATTGATCTACTCACATTTGTGTGTTTTCAAACTGCTACGTTGGCAAAAGCTGGTTCTAGCTCACCCCATCTGTAGATTCGAACCTCCAACCTTCCGGTCAGCAACTTCTGCAGTTTAGCGATTTATCCCGCTGCTTCACTGCGGCCCCATGCATGATAGATCCCAAAAATTTAGTTCTTGGCTCTGAGTATAATGAACAACTCCCTCTCTCCCTCCCAAAAACATAATGAGGCAAATCCTCAATTTTTGCACCTCCACAAACAATTAAATGAATGTTCAAAGGGTATGATAATATCGTCCATCAGTCATAACTGATGGCTGCAGGCATGGTTTAAAAAGTTTGTAAGTTTTATCCACTAAAGTGACTTTTCACTGGTTGGATTTGTAAAGTTTATACTATTGTGAAAAAAATGTTGTTTATAGACTGCCTTGCTCTTAAAGAAATTGGAAAACAAAGTCTGAAAAGGGACAAAGCCTGTTTGTGAGTTGAATATCTTTCTGAGTTAACATGAGAGAGCTTGAACTGTTTATGGAATGCTAACAGTAATCATTGATTTCTCTATATTCATTCCCAATATGCCTCATTTTTAGATAAAATTGATGACTATTGGAATACTTATGGAACTTTCAAGATGAGCTATTCAGAGCAAGAGATTACAGATCTTCTCGAAGCAGCAAAGAAAAATGTAGAAGGTGTCAAAGAGAAGATCTGGGAAGAGATAAAGCGTTTATGTGGTCATTCTTCATAGAAGGTTGAAACAAGTATTCTTAGTAGAGTCTCGCTTATCCAACCTTCACTCATCCAACGTTCTGTATTATCCAACGCAGTCTGCCTCCCGCTGGGATCCACAGCTCTTTTTGGTGTTAAATTCGTAAATATAGTAATTACTACATAACGTTACTGTGTATTGAACTGCTTTTTTTCTGTCGATTTGTTGTAAAACATGTTTTGGTGCTTAATTAGTAAATTTGACGTTTAATAGGCTTTTCCTTAATCCCTCCCTATTATCCAACATTTTCGCATTTCCAGCATTCTGCCGTCCCATTTATGTTGGATAAGCGAGACTCTACTGTATTAATATTCTGGGGAAACAAAATTTTACTTCTATGTTCAGTAAAAGAATCTGAAGACATTTTCAGCTTCTTTTTGTTTGTTCCCTTTTACTACATATCTCCCAATCACGTATGGATGTACAATTTGTGGGGACTATATGATGATGTGGACAAATATGATGGCTTGATTCTTATGCTTATATCTAACTGGAAAGGACACACTGAATCAACTGAATTTTTTAATGACTCCCCATTAAAAATCAGAATTACTTGAGTTGAGACTAACCCATAGGGATTTTAAACCACAATGTTGATTAAGTGGAATGTTTATGAGAAACTTTCATAATTGCTGAAGCTGGAAGGAAAAAATATTGGTGAAAATGTTTACTCTTGCCGCAATACCTTTCAGTGCCACTAGAGTTTCAGTTTATGCCAGGTTTGTCCTTATCCAGCAGCAACAATCTGGGCAAAATTAACATGGTCATTGAGGTCTTTTCTGGAGCAGTTCTACATGAAAGACAGTCTGTGTCCTGATTACAATACCATAGCAGTTTGACACTAAATTAATAACTATAGCTCAGTGATATGGAATTTTGAGATTTCTAGTTTTGTGACAAATTTACCCTTCTTTGTCAGAGAGCTCTGGTGCCACAACAAACGACAAACCTCAGGATTACACATGACTTCAGCACACTAGAGAATAAATCCACTTTAAATCCAGTTTCTTCCTCCTGCAGAATTCTGGGGTTTGTAGTTGAGTGAGGTTGTTAAAAGGCTCTTCCCTAAACTACAAACCCCAGAATTCTGCAGGAGGCAGAAACTAGAGTGATGAGGTAAATAGAGTGGAATCATGGCAATTAAAGTGATGTCAAACTGCTATAATTTTTTTAGTGTGGATAGTCACTCAGTGACCCCATAATTCTAAATGGAAAACTGTCCTGAGAAGCAAAATATATCCCTTAGTGTCTACAACTTATACTGGCTGATTCATTATGTATTGTAGACCTGAAGATTATTTTTCTGCTCTTCTTGTATTGAAAGCGTATCAATAAAACTTTTGTTTCAATCACATTCTTGAGTTTATATTTTTCCCCTTACCGATTAAATGGAAACATTGGAGCATTACATATTGCAAACGATCTTATTGTTACTTTCCTTGTTTTGTTTTGTAAAGCGTCAAGTACACTGTAAAATGAAAGACTTCACAAAAGCAGTCAGTTAATAATCTAAGCAAGATTAATTTAGTTGTGAAATTTTCGCTGTAATAAAGCAGATTTCCCTGTTGCTCCCAGTCCTTACTTGGCAAAGCTAGCAAATCTGCAAAGCGATAGAAGCACACTTGAGATGACACGAGACAACACTGAGTGAGGGTTGTGCTTTTGCGTAGCAGTTCGGAAAATGGAACATTGTCATGGCAACCCCTTCACGTCCCTTCAACTAGGGAGGCTTGTAGTGCTCATGTCCGTTCAACGGGGTGTGAGGAGAGAAGGGATATCCACGGGCTGTTCTGCACATGCACAGTAGGGACATAAGTCTCTGGGGTAAGTGCAGGGTTTCATGGCTGGGGTATAGGGGCAAAGAAACCCCTATTTCCCAAAAAGTAGGAGCCCCCTTTCCAATGGGGAGGGCGAGAAAGGACACCACAAAAGTTGAAACTTCAAACAGCAATAAACAAACAAACAAACAAACAAAACCAAAACCAAAAACCAAAACAAAAAAACCCCAACTATTTATTGTGGACCTAGCAATATCGACAAACAAGCATACAGGAATGCAATCAAAGGGTTTGTCACAACCCCCAATGGGGCTGCAGGGTTTTTATCATTTTTGGCATATACATTCTCGTTGGTTCCCAAAGACAAATCATTTCATTGGTCTAAGCTAGCCATACAGTTTATGTATTTATTTATTTATTTATTTATTTATTTATTTACTACACTTGTATACCGCAGTTTCTCAGCCAAACAGGCGACTCAACGCGGTTTACAACAAGGGTAAAACATCAAACAACAATATACAATTAAAACCATTAAAAACAATTATACCAGTACTAACACAACCATAACAACACAATACATCTCATAACTAAAGTCGTGATCCAGTTCGTTGTCCCTATTTCATTCCTGTAGTCATCACATTTATTGCACTATTTCTCCGAATGCCCGTTCGAACAACCACGTTTTTAGTCTTCTTCGAAACACCATTAGCGAGGGCGCTGACCTAACCTCCATGGGTAGGGCGTTCCATAGCCGAGGGGCCACCACAGAAAAGGCCCTGTCTCTCGTCCCCGCCAGCCGCACCTGGCAGGCGGGATAGAGAGCAGGGCCTCCCCAGAAGATCTTAGGGTCCTGGTGGGCTGATAGGCAGAGATATGTTC